GGGGGGGGGGGGGGGTTAGATCAATAGAGTTGGAATGCTCTAACCTTAGTTGGATATGAGGCAGGGGTTCACAATGAGAGATGGATTACTGAGGAAGGAGAAGAGAGATTGCAAGGTGGTGGGAGATGGAGGAGCAACGGTGGTGGTGGGAGAGAGATCGGGGGCTGTTAGAGGTTCGAATATGTATACGTGGATGAATGGGTGATAATGATGATGAGTGGTAGCAGAGTCATGCCTGGAGGAGGGCGAGCTGGATATGTGTCCAGGGCCCCAATAATTTAGTATACTGTTAATAATTATGGACCAAATTAATTTAATTTAAAACCCAAAACTGAAAGGGTCCAAATAATTTAAGTCCAAAGTTAATGAATTATAGTCTTGGGACCGGCCAAGGACAGGCCCGGCCCGGGATCGATTATGGGACCGTCGGTTACATCTGGTTATGGTTTTTGTCGGATTTGTGGGACCGGGATCGGTTATGGACCGGCCCGGCCTGGTCCGAAATATTAAAAAAAAGACTTTTTTGTTTTAAATATAGCAGTTAACTAGCCGTTTTTGACCTTTTTTTTGTATTTTTTGGCCTCTAAACACTATAAATATGTGACAAGGTTGAGATGTTTACATACAAAGTTCTCAATTCGCAAAAAAACGCAAAAAAATGTTCATAATTCTCGTAATAAAACGTATTTTTAAAGTGTATTTGAGTGACTCGTACGAAAAATTTAATAATGTATTAAAAATATATCATTAAAAAATATATATTAAAAGAATTTAAAAAAATATTTTTTAAAGGGTGGGACCGGGACCGGCGGCCCATAACCGGTTATAAACTAGCCTGACCGGTCTTCATCTATTCAACCGGGACCGGGACCGGTTATAGCCGGTTACGAGAAATCTTGGGACTGGTTGGGCCCGGCCCGGCCCGGGATCGGTTTTTGGCCATCACTAGTTCAGGTTCAATCGTATCGTATACGCCTCCAGACTCCAATCCCAATCTCGCTCGGCTATCGCCTGTCGCTCATGGCTCATGCTAGGACCTAATCGTAATTGAGTAAGGAGTAATCGGTCGAGTGGCGACACTTCGTCTCTTCCAGTGTTCCAGAAACTGAGAACTCACACACACACTCTCACCTCTCCAACGGTCCAATTCCAAACTCTGTATGTTTTTCTTCTCCTACTCGACTACTTTTCGATTTCAAATTTTCAAAGACTGTTGTTTGACGTTTCATTTCTCCTAAATGTAATTTACAACCGAATCACGAAGTCTTGTAGGTCATATATATATATATATATATATATAGGTAACCTTGTTTTTTGTGTTAACTATATAAACCCATATGGTCTAAGAGGAATCCATATTGGTTCATGGTTAATAGGTTATTAAATATTTAACAAATGTGTGCAAATTAGTAAGAATATGTTGACATAATATGGGAGTTATATTGTTCCTAAAAATTTGGCTCTTTTCAAATATTTAATTCCTCCAGATGGAATGAACATCTTGTTATGTCTTCCATCGTGTTCATCTTTAACATGTTTGGAATGACTAGTCATTAGGTGTAAATATAAGTGTTCATGAACATGAAAATTGTAAACTAACATGACAGACGTTAAAAATGTTCATGGATATGTTCACTTATTGGGATTCATAATTGTTAACAATGTTCATGTATATGCTCACTGTTTTCACCACCCATCCTTGCCCATCTACATTTGTAACCATTCATAATTGTTAAAAACGTTCATGGATATGTTCACTTATCGAGATTCATAATTGTTAACAATGTTCATGGATATGTTCACTGTTTTCACCACTCATCCTTGCTCATCTACAATGTAACGAAAGAGTAATTGTAGGGAAGAATATGATGGTAAGTTTTTTTTTATTTGTTTTGTACCGAATTTACCTTTGTTCATGATGATTCATCTTCCTAACTAATCGCTTCAGTTACTTTTAATACTAAAATTAACAAAATCATGACTAGTAGATAGGTATTTGATTAACAAATAAATACATGTTCAAATAAAATCATCCTTATTTAAATATAAATTTCGAAGTTCTTTTTTTAATGATTGTTAGCTTTATATTTCTTGGTTTAAAAAAAAACTTTATATTATGTTGCATTACATGGGCACACAACTACTATATATAAAGAAAAAACAATCAAATGAGAATCACAAAATGTTACAAACCTGTGAGAACTAATTCCGTTTTTATATGATTTTTCTTTTATCAAAAACTATGATTTAAGATATTGTTTTACATATGTTTTTGTATATACTATAAGGGTACTCGTGCAATGCATCGAGACACATCTTGATTTCAGTGTTTCGTTTTATTCATTTTTTATGTCGATATAATACGGTTTTATATGGTTTTGAGAAAAAATGATAATGTGTTTATTTTTGAATAAAATATAAATTTGAAAATATCATAAAATTTTGAAAAAAAATATATCGATATTAATATCAAATTAATCTTTTTAAAAGTTCTTATATTTTGATGTAATTTCTTTAATTCATTTTTTAGTTATAATTTAATTTAGATTTAATAACAAAGAAATTTAATTTAAGTTTAATAATATAATTTTTTTATAAAGATAATAACTAAATATTCTGTTAGAACTTCAGTATTATCCTAATTATATTTTAGATTTTTTATATTTAAAATGAGATGTTCAAATATTATGTTTATCATCAGTTAGTTACACGAATTCAAATATGGAGATTTAATAAGTTATATTTATGCACAATTTACTTGTAATATTAAATTTTAAGTAATATGCATCAATAAATAGTACTTCGTGCAGAAAAAATGGTTTTTAAGAGTTTTTGTCAAATTCTTTATAATATGGTATAACTTATGAAAAAAATAAAATTTTTCTCTTAATTCACATTATTAAACGAAAAATATACATTAACTGAGGGAGATCTATTCATACCTGAGCAGTGTCCCGTGCACCCGCTCAACTGAATTTTTCAAGTAAAAAAAAATTGGGTATGAAAGGTTCATCCCTAAACTTTCAATGATGCTTCAACTTATTAGAAAATGCAAGAAATATCAACTAAAAGAACCCGAAAAAATCTCTCGAAATCAACCAAAAAACTTTTAAAAATCCCGAAAAATAATAGAATTTGACTAAAAATACATTGGACAACTTTACGACCCTTTAATAATATACGTTCACCTCAACTGTTGTACCCCATTTGTCAACATATTTGGTGTGAAAACTAACATTTTCTTGTGGATGGTAATAAATATTATATTTCCATTCTTACTTATTTTTCCATTTCACTCCCCACACAAAAAAATTAATTTATAAAATCACACAACTCGTAATAATTTATAAAAACATAAGTTACAAGCACTGCCTCTTTCCTAGCACATGAACACAATCATTGGTGCCAAAATCATAGACAACCCAACCACCACCATGCTGGTGCCGCCGGTGGAGCCACCTTCACCGTCGGGACTTGACGTTGCCGGCGTAGATGGGGTGGTAGACGAAGGTGGTGACTGGTTGTTGTCGCTACTAGGGGTGGTGGTGGTTTGAGATACCACATTGATTGCCAGTTTCATCCCTAAACTGCAGTGGCCAAATGATGGACAAGCAAAGAACATTGGGCCTGGTTTTGTCAACTTAATCGTGGTTGCGCCCCCCGTGTAGGAGTTGATGGCATTGCCGGTGGCACAGTTGTCGTAATCAGCTTTCGATAGACTGTCCACGCCATGGCTGCTACCATAGTTGAATACTGCCCAAGGAAAAACAATTCAAAGGATTTAGTTATTAATCATATAGAAGAGAGCATTTTTACTCGGTGAAATATGCTTTTTACACGGTTGAAATCCGCTATGTAGCTGGCACGATTACAACAAAATCGGGTTTATAGAATGTCAAAAATATTTAAATGTTCTAATAGACTGCTTTATTGAACTTGAGTTTAAAAGATAAAACAATTATGCACCCTATATAATAAGTGTTATAATAAGTAAAAGGCACTTTTTAATTACAGAAACCTTTAATAGAACCTTGTAAGAGAATGAACCTTCTTACATGGTTGCAATCAATAAAACCACATAAAACGCAACTTTTACATGGTTGCAAGGATAACAACGTAAAAAGGCTCTACATCTGTTGAATAATGCCTAACGCAAAAAAAGTAGTTCAAAAGATTTAGTTGTTACTCAAATATCAAAGCTTTCGTTTGCAAAACAGATTACTGACGTTATGGAAAATTACAGGATGAACCCAACCCTCGATTTTTGCATTTTTCAAAGAATTACATGGTTAACACAATTTTATAAAGTGACCAAAAGGTCAAAGGCCCAACAGTCACAGATTTTGTGTAATGCCCAGTCAGTCGTCTCCCAGACTGTCGATGTGAATATTTGTGGTATATATTTATTATATACTTAAAAAAAAAACTTACAGAGTGTGTCACCAACGTTAAACGTTTTACTAGCGGCCCATGTGGTATAGTCTCCGGAATTGGTCCAGCCACTACTGTCACCAACGATGTGTTGCACCGCGTATGTTGCCGGAGTCGCGATGGCTAGAATGGAAATAAGAAAGTATGCCACCATCGACATTTCTTGGTTTTTATGTGTAAAGTTATGTCGTTTTTTGTGACAAAGAAGGTGAAGAAAAGATTGGATTTTATAGGCAGAAAAATAATTAAAAAATAAAGAAAAAAAATATGATATATATTATGTTTGTGGCAGATGGAATATTAGACGATGTCGTGCATACTTGCTACTAACTCTTACCTAATGCTTTAAGTACTCCAACCCACCCCCTCCCCCACATGATGCTTGGAAGTTATCTTATCAAAAAGTAAAATTGGTAAAAATATTCATTCCATTCATATAAATTGGTTTATTGGTCATTTATATGTCTGATTTACTTAAATATTACTATTTTTCTAAGTTTTACGTTCGTCACTTACGGAACTAGTTAAAAGACAAAAAATAAATTCAGATTGTAGATCTTGTCGTCGTAATTGCGGACCTGGTCGTCACAATCGTGGACCTGGTCGTCGCAATTGAAGACCTGGGTCAAATCTGATAATTTTTTTTCTTTTAGTTGGGTTTGCAAGTGGCGGACGTGGGACTTTCAGACGTACTGATATTTGGGTAAATCATGAAGAGGAATGGCTAGTTGATCAATTTATATGAGAGAAATGACTATTTTGGTCTTGAAAAATGGGTTGTTATCGAATCAGGTAACATGTTAAAATGGTTTTAGATTAAAACTGGTAATTAAACCAGGTTCAGATCAAAATTGGTTGGGCTAATCATTAGTTACCGTTTTACTAATGAACCATCGATGGATATTTGGGTTTCGAAAAATAGATTTTTATAAAGTTAATTTTGATTAATATTATATTTAGTTTATTTCATTTTATTATAATCAATACTATATTATAAGCATTTGAAAAAAAAACTCTTAAAAATCATTTTTTATGCATGAAGTACTGTTTATTAATGCATATTATTTAAAATTTAAGTAAGTACAACTTATTAAAGCTCTATTTTTGAATTCGTGCAACTAACTGATATAAACATAAACAAATATAGGATAAACATCATATTTTAAATCTAAAAAATCTAAAATATAATTAAGATAATCATTGAGTTCTAACATAATCATTATTTTTATAAAAATTATATTGTTAAGCCAAAAATAAATTACTTTACTATTAGACCTAAGTTAAATTATAATAAAAAAAATTGAATAAAAAACAAGAACTTTTAAATAGTTAATTTGATATTAATATTGATATATATTTTTTAAAATTTTTATGATATATTCAAATTTATTTTCATGCAAAAGTAAAAACATTATCTTTATCAAAACCACATAAACCGTATTATATCAACAAAGACAAAAAATAAAACGAAACACTAAAACAAAGATTTATCTCGTTGCATTGCACGAGTACCCTTCTAGTATATATAAATACATAAATGAAATATGAATGAAATTAATATACCGTATTTGTGTATCCAAAAATAGCTTTTGGAGAAGGTTTTGTAAGTGTAACCAAAGGAAACCTTTGTTTTAAAAAATGTCACTAAAGTCAATATCTTTAGAGAAGTTTTTCCATATACCTTCTATGAATGTATCTTTTAGTAACTCTTATAAAGCGTCAGAAATACTGTAAAAGTGTCATTAATAAACATTTTTAGAGAAGCTTTTTGAAAAAAGTTGACTAACCTTTAAGGAAGCTTTCAAAATGTATCTAAAGCCCTAAAAAAGCTTCTCTAAGCTAACAAAAAAAAAAAAATACCCTTCCAATACCGTTCCTAAAACCTTTTCCTACTTTTATATAGAGAAGATTTTTGACAAAATTGAAACGCTTCTCTAAATGCAATAGAAAAGATTTTAAGGCTTTTAAATAAAAAACAAGACCTTCTCTGAAGGTTATTTCTTTACCGAGGGTTCGAATCCCTCTCTTTCCGTACCTTCACCTAATTCACCGATCAGGAGCAATACTTGAAATAGCAATCCATAAAAAAACACCAATATCTTGAGCAGTTACATATCCAGGGCCCCTGTAGTTATATGGGATTTACTAAAACTACTATATTAAAAATGGGTTTGTCTCATGTCGTATTATAATATTAAATGAGACTCTTAGGTGGCGTTTGTTTTTTAAGAGGTGTTTAAGTCTGAAGTCTGAAGTCTGAATTCACTTCTGAATTTTAAGAGGTGGTGCTGAAGTCTGAAATCTGAATCAGTCAGACTGTTTGTTTTTACGTCTGAAATCTGAAATATGAATCATTGAAATCTAGGTTTTCTTTGCAAGCATTGGAAGCTCTAAAAGCAATTAAGAGGTTTTAAGTGAAAATGTTACCTCTAAATAATTCAGACATAATCATAGCTTTTAAGCTCTTAATTGAAAAAAAAAAAAACAAACACACTTAATACCCTAAGGTCTGACCGATTCAGACATAAGAGGGTATTAAGTGCTTTTTAGGTAAAAACAAACAGAACCTAATTTTATAAGATCAACATCTTATACGAAAATGCTATAATAAGTTGTCAAGGCAAAATAACAGGATCTAATAAGTTCTTTCCTTATAAAACGATAAATTGTAATAACGAAGTTAGGAGCCGTTTACCAAACGATTAGTAGGTAGGTGCTTACTGGTAAAAGTCACTACCTTTACTTACCTTATCAGGTAACATTCTCGGCCATCAAAATGGATTATTGGTAAGCATTTTTTACTCGATAAATGCTTACCAGTTAAGAGTCATCTCCCTCACTTATAGAGTAAGATACTCGGCCATTGTTGTGCTTCTTACCGAGTAAGATTGTTGGTCATTATCATTCTCACCCGGTAAAGTAAGTAACACCCGATAAACACTTACATGATAAACATTTGGTAACAACTGTTTAGACAATTTAATGGAACTCCAGAAGTAAATGGTTCTATTAAGCTGTCCAACTTCAAACCAAAAATTTATTGTCACATAAGAATAAAATTTATTCGTTCACATAACTTTATGTTAACTTACTTATACCAAACCACAAGAGTGGTATCTGATTGGTTTGAGCTTGGCTCCAAAGGTCAAAAGTACCAGTAGGTCCCAAATTCAAATCCAATGAGACATAAAAATCCCCTTGTGGCCACAGAGGTTTAAATGCGGTGACTCCAGGCTATCTGTAAAGCAGATAGTCGTTCTGGAATTAGTCAGCTCACATAACGGATTAGATATTCAGGTTAATAATAGTAAAAAAAAAACTTACTTATACCATCTTTTAGTAGTTAAATTGAAAAGTTCCCCTCAATACTTTGTTAAAACGATTGAGCAATTTGTTGTGAATACCTAATTATACATTACATGACTTTTAAGCCATTCAACCTATTTCCCTTTTACCTAATTTCCAAAAAACAAATCGTTGATATGTTATGGATAAAATATAACACTAATTAGCCTGTTTTTTTACATAAATGAGTGAAAATTAGGGGTGTTCGAGGACCAAACTGTAATGACGGTTTAGAAATATTCTAAATTTGTTTGACAACAAGTGATGAAACCGAACCAAAAAGGGTCTATTTAGGCGGTTTAAGTGTTTTATAGGTTTTAAACTAAAAAAACATAACATTTATATCCAACTATAATGTTATTAAAATACAATATATTGAATTATTAAAAAGATGCCTATCTCTAAAATTTATTAAGTTGAATAAATAGTCATCACCAACAATACTTGTAATATTGGATTTGATTTTTGATGGGTTTCGGAAGTTTGCCAATTTAGATATATAGCACAGCCAATTGAGAAAATTAAATGTAATTATTACATGTGTATTTTTGATGGTCGGTTTTGATGCAGACCGCTAGAAAAACGTTCAGATCATAGAGCAGAGCGGACCAAATGATTTGATCATCGAAAACGCCAGAACGATTCGATTCTACTTGATACGACTTGTTTGAATGGTTCGTTAATTTTTTTTTTGGACAACTCCGATGAAAACTGCTATCTCTAATCCAATGGCAAGAGTTAAAACACAAACATAAGAAAACCCTTTGTAGTAACTTTAATATATTTATAATTTTACAGTTTTACTGAACAACTATAGAATATAAGATCTAAACTCAAAACTTATAATATCCAACACAAGTATCGGTCATTTGAATCACTCGCATAAACTTTAATCTATTTTTTTTGTCAATTATTTTCAAATTTATTTACTTCACCGTTGGGTATTATGTTTCAATCATTTCATAAAAACTCCTGTTACAAACATTAAAAATATTGTGTATATAGGGATAATCTAGTCGAGTCAACTTTTTTTCTTCTTCTCTTTCTAATTGTCAACATTATGATTTCAAATGATATCAATTTATATATTAAAGGTACAGTAATGCTATATAAAAATGATATGATAGATAATTTTAGTTTAAAAATAATTATTAATTGATTTTGCGTATAAGAGTACTCGGAAAAACGATTTTATATAAATTATTAGTATTTCTTAAATTTAATGTAATTTATGATGATAAAAAACAAAATATTGAAGATTTTTTATACTTCGAGAGCCCTTTTTTAGATCTTGTCCAGGACCTATAAAGTGTCAGAATTGGACCTGCTTAGATACCAACTAAGGTCTACGGAATTGGGGGTTGCATGTATCTGGGATAGTAAGGGGCCGTTTACCAAACACTTACCCAGGTAAGCGCTTACCAAGTCACATTACCTTACCGGATAAATATGGTAAGAACTAAAAGAATTTTACCCCGTAAGAGCGAGACAAGGACCGTGAGTCTTACCCAGTAAGTGAGGGCAACGACTCTTACCACGGTAAGCGCTTACTGGGTGAATTGTTGCACACAATGTCGTTTTGATAGATTAAAATCTTACCCGGTAAGTAAATAATAATGTTAAGTTTTACCGGTAAGCACATACATGGTAAGTGTTTAGTAAACGGTCCCTAAGTTGAGGAAGGCTGACTATGGGGGTTTAGACACGTTAGCTGGAGACTTATAGCAACCCCATTGAGAAAGGTGGAAAGCGTGTCTGTCTATGCTGTTAATATCGGTGCAATAACAATCCTCAAAAGAATAGCGAATATGCTAATATTGGGACATGTAAATTAGCTTATTTATATAAATATTTATATCGAACAAATAAACTTACACACCCTCCTAACCCTTACAGGTAACTCGGATATCGCTTTGCCAAATACCCTGCAGTATATCTCCGTCTGCCTACATCATATGTGTTTGTCTGCCAATCTTCTTTTCTGGCCTGTGTTACTAAAAAGCTACCCCATTAAGACCGCTAGCAACAAGGTTCAACCTTGCGCAAATCTGAGTCGACTAAAGCAGTATCAGCCAATGAAAGACAATCGAAACCAAACAGGCCAACGATCGAGTTGAAAACCCATCACTGCAAACGTGTCGGCCCGAACCACTTCTGCTTTTTCATGGATCCATGCATCTATTCAGTAGGTTGTTTGTGGCACGACCTTTTTGCAGAAACCCACCCGCTCCTATCCTAGTTGGTGCTAGTTTTGTTTTTTGTTTGTTCATGAGTTTAGCATTAAATAAATTATATAAAAATCCTACTCGATTACAGGCAAGATGTTTTCTCAGATATATGTTGACATTCGCTACCACTACACAACGGAGATCTTAAAAACAAAACTTCATAAAACAGATTGATTGAAGTAGATCTACACATTGTATGTAGGTTCAGAAGGAGCAGCATTATAATCATAAGGACCATAGTTCATCTGACCTCCATAACCGTGGATTGGACCTGCTCCTGTAGCCTGACTCGGGTAGTTTGCATATTGAAGATATCCAGCAGGTCCTTGGGTGTAACCAGCCCCATATGGGGTGGTGGGGTTATATGATGCTGGTGGGTATCTGGCGGCAGAGGAGTGGTGTGTGGGTGGTGGAGGGCGGTTCCTCTGCCGGAAACCTGAAGAGCCCCTGCTTGATTTTGGTGGCCGGGAGGAGGATGAGGAGGTGGTTGCACCAAACCTCCGTGGGCGTGGTCGCTTGGTAGAAGAAGGTTTAGTTGCAGGAGCGACAATACCTTTCTTCTTATCTGATCTTGCCCTCTCCAACCGACCAATCTGCCTCTTCAGGTTGCTGATGTTGAATTCAGATTCGAGTTTGTGGTCTTCGATCAATTTCATAATTGTTTTGACGGTAGTCAACTCGTTGATGATATCATCCTGAAACAAGCGGATAATGGGAATTTAGATTTGGTACTAAATCCAATGTATCCCATCTGAAAGTAGGATTTAGGGGATCACATCCTCAAGAGGTTTGAGAATTTTTTTTGAAAAATGACTCCGGGTTATGACCATGTTACAAAATCAAACCATGTGTTCTCTAAAGTTACATGTGGCATACTAGCTTATAATTTAACCGTAAGCACCCAAGCAGTGGGAGGAGCCCGGGCCTCTGACCCCGTGCCTGTTGAAGAATGAGCCGACCATCCCCATCAGCGTAATTTTTTTGTTTTACGCGCACGTAACTCTTCCTCAGCCAGGACAGGAATCGGGCTTTAATGAGTTCTAACATGCAACGTCAAGCAGTCCCTCTTTCTCAGTCCAAGAAGTGAACTGTTGGTTGATACATTACAAACAAACTAGAAGCATAATGGGGAAAAAACAAAAAAACTGATGGAGCTTATTAAAACGCTATTTGAAGTAGTTTTTCAAAAAGCGAACTTATAAGCTAGCTTATTTATGGCTCTTCAAACGGGACTTTTTCAATAAGCTCAAAAAATAAGTTAGCTTATGGTTGCGAAACATGACGTAAATGTACTGGTGACGCACTTTCTTATCTAGTTGGCTTGAAGTTAAACATCAACGTACCATTGAAGGAGCATCCTTATTACTAGCGATTTTCTGAGAGTTAGCAAGACAGGATTTGAGCAGTTTGGCTGGAGGAAACAAATCAGTCAGCCCAGCTTCCGAAGCAATATACACAGCATCAATCTCTTTGCCCGTCTTCACCAACTCTTCAATTACGCCTTCTCAAAAAACAAAAAACATTATAAATATATAATTACTTAGGTATCCAATTAATTACATTTAAAATAATCAGCAGAATCCAAACACGCAATAAGCTATTATATTGAAATGACAAAAAATGATCATCAAGACTACAATAGCACCATCAAGATTCTTCAAGTGTTCAGCTTAAATGGTATCATACCTGCTACCTAATTGCTATGTCTAAAGTTAGGATTAAATCCCCTTTCCTGTTTACCAGATTCAAGAAAAAGCAAGAATATGACACTACGTGGTACCCTAGCTAGGTGGTAAGGTCTTCCCAGAGGTAGACCCAGAAAAAATTTCAAACGATTTGACCGTAATGGTGAAAGCTACAGAAAATTTTAACAAGATCATAGTAGCTTGGTTGGTTAGTTGCTTGTGTTTCTAAAGAAAAATCACGGGTTGATTCCTTGCACCGCTGATTTACAAAAAAGAATTTAAAACAAAAGCTATAAGAAACCAATATTAAAAGCTGTTAACAAGAATTTTGTTAACAGCGGGGTTTGAACTCGCGCTCTTTTGAAGGGAAAACTTTAATTAAGCACCTTGAACCAACTTAGCTAGCTCAAATTTCTGTCATAACTATAGTTTTAGAAAATATAGGCCACACAACGAAACATCACAGTGACACCCTTTAGGAACGTCATTTTTTCCCACTACGACGGAACCATTAAGCAGAGGCATGGGCCACCATATGCCCCTAGGTAAGTCCGACCCTGGGTCTTCCCTCTTTTCTGATTCAGTCACAGGCGAGACTATGAACTACAGTTCAACTGCTTAGCCTTTAGTTGCTAATTCCAGAATTTTCAATTCAAGACCGTAAAGCTATGATACTACTATCAAGCATTAAGCTTGAAGATTGTGGGTTTAAATCAACCCTTCAAAAATTTCCAATTCAAGACCACAAAGCGATTATACTACTATCAAGTGTTAGGCTTGAAGATCGTGGGTTTAATCAATCCCTTCAAGAAGTTCCAATTCTAGACCTCAAGACCATGATACTGCTATCAAGCGTTAAGCTTGAATGCTATCCAACCAAACCCTAATATGGAAATCTCACATGTTTTTGTGTTAATTAACATCAGATGATTATCTGGATATATGACAAAGCCTTGGAGGTCAGAAGTTTGAACCCCTTGTATTTGCGTACTTTAAGACCATCTGCAATGAATGCACTAATCTTTAACTATACCTATTTGTTGCACCAAATGCTCTCCAATGAAGTTTGCACTATTTTATTGTGAAGAATGGTAAAACACCAAAAGTATGAACGATAGTGTAATAAAGATGAGATGATTTAGTGTTTGCACAACCATGGTGCAACATCTGGTGTTTTACATCGGAGATGCCCTAGCCCCTAAGAACCAAGATTACCATCAAGTATACCACACTCATGGTTTCAAAAGAAGAGTAAAAGTATGACAACCATTCCAACAACAATGCATACATCTAAACAACAATCAATTTTAATACCAATCTAGACCAGATTCAAACAATAATCAGTTACTTGTAACTCATAACTACAATTTCATATAGTTGTGATTAACAATACTAACCTCCCATTTTCTGTGCAGAGCCTAACGCCACTGCAAGCTTCGCCATATCCCGCTTACTCCCGACTTCCAACACCAAACTCATCAGAAACCCACCATCATATCTATCTTTCAATCCGAACCCAATAACCATCGTCACAAACATGTTTGCTTCCCCTGAACTCACCCCATCATTTGCATCACCACCACCACGATTCAAAACACCTTTCCATTTATCCAACACCATTGCTGCCCTCTCCTTCAAACTCCTTGAAACCCCACCAACAGCTGCCGTTAAACTAAAGGGTTCACCACCAGATGGGATGGGAAAAGCCGCCTGAACCAATATCCCACAAGCACACCGTGTTGGTGCTAATCCTACAATCTGTTTTCCACTAACTTTCAACTCTACAAACTCTTCAACCGCCTCCAATACAAAACCTAACAAATCCACCGCTTCCCCGGCCGCCATGGCCGTCTCCACCCTCAATTCCACAAGTTTCTTCCTATTTGCCAACATATACTCCATTAAGCCCTTCCAATCCATCCTCCTGAACCACATCTTCAACAATTCCGACATCGTTTCATACTTGGCATCCGAACTGCTTCCCCTTTCGATGTCAGTAACCCCAGAATCCTTAAGTTGCTGGACACGGGCTGCGAATGTAGCTTCCTTCTCCGGAATAAGACTCTCGCGAATTCGAAGAGATTCGAGGGCGTTTTCAGTATCTTCCTTAAATTTCTCGATCTGGGAGTCTAGGGTTAGGAATTTTTTGTTGAGGGATTCTTCTAAAGAAGCGAAATGATTGAATAATTTGGTGTTGAGGTCAGTCACAGTGGTGAGAAGGGTTCTGCGAGTGTCCAAATCGTTGAAGAAATTCTTGAATCTATCTGGGTTTATCACGTAATCCTTAGTCATTTCCCTTCAATGATAACTGATGAGATGACAAACCCTAAAATGAGTTTTTTCTTGAAGGCGCTTCAGGCGTACCACAGGGCAACAAGTTCCTTCGTAATACGTGGGGGATCAAAACAATTGTAGAATGGAGACCGAGCACGCAAGTGGTGACATTGTACGAACTTCACCTTGCTATCAAATAAAAATAATTTTTTTAACTTTTTAAAATCTGTTAAATACATTTTTATGGTTTATAAAACTGATTAATATAATAAAATAATAAAAAAACTTGGAAAAAGTCAATAGACTTTTATATTTTAAACGATTAAATCGTTAAACATTTTTTAAACTAAAAAATATTTATATATATAAAATAAAATAAGTATAC